TATAATACAGTGAATTCTTTACGTTTATAAAATACTTATAGATATAACTAAAACGTATAAGAAAAGTAAAATATGCTATAATCGTTTTCATTTTGAAGCAAGTATATTCTAAAACACACTTATGTGAATATATGTAATGGACTGTGGTATTAAATTATAAAACTGATAATTCATTTACTGAGTGTATTTAAAATTATAATGATATAAAATAACGTAGTTTATGTATTATTTTAGACAGGCAATTTGCAGATGAATATTCATTGAAAGTTCAAATTTAATGAGATCTCTGCATGGTTGGATAGAAGTTACTTAGAACGAATGTGGGTCTAATAGACTGACATAATTTCTTGCTCTTGTGCTGTTCTGTGAAATTCTTTTCAGCANCAATTTAATGGAAAAATATCACGCGCAATGCTTGCGTGCTGTAAAAAGTCAACTGCCGCGAAGAGAATCAGAAAGGAGAAGTCATCCTTTGGCACGTCATTGTGATATATTGACAGCGATTGAAACGCGAATATCCATGTTATCCATGACGTTTATCAAATACGTGGACCTCAATCTGTGTTGTTTTATCCCCGGCAAGGTAAAAAATCTTACTGTTATACAACAAATATAATATACACTAAGTTCTAATACGCAATGAATTTGTGTCAGGTAATCGATGAAATTTTTCGTGTTCTTCGTTTAATTCGTGATTCAAAAACTCCACCAAGAGCTCACGAAATACTTCAGGAATTAAGAGATATTAGTAGTATGGCTATGGAACATTTTGATGAAAAGATCTTGCCAGATTTAAAGCATAGCATTTGTACGTCTGTCGTTAGTAATGTAGGCTCTTATGAACTACCAGGTGGAAGTTTAATGATTTCTCACCATACCACTAATCCAACTAATACAACACTGCCTCATAACTTTAATTCAGATCAACTAAATCAAACTTTCAAAAAAATCTACAGTCGCACTAAAAAGAATAAATTATCCGTCCTCTCTGTAAAAGGTCAGATAAGTAAAATGAAGCTTAGAATGAAGAGGCAGGGCTTTCAGATGCGAATGCAGAGTTTAAAGATGCAAGAACAGGCGAAAAAAATACATGATCAAGATACACAACTGGCAGAAATAAGAAAACATTTAGAAGAATGGGAACAGAAAATGGTTGACTTAACAGCAGGACTAAGTCGTGCCAGAGAAGAAACTCAAAAGCCTGATTCCATAGAGACCTGTAAAAGAAAACTCATTGACTCTTCAAATGAGTTACAAGCAAAAAGATGCAAATTGGCAATAGAAAGATTAAAGTCAATACTATAAAAGCTTGAATCTGTCATCAGCTTGTTCTCTGTACATAAAAGGGTTGTATATG